TATGACCTCATCCACTATTGCTCCAGTGCAGCTGGCCACTCTATGACCTCATCCACTATTGCTCCAGTGCAGGTAGTCACCCTATGACATCATTCACTATTGCTCCAGTGCAACTGGCCACTCTATGACATCATCCACTATTCCTCCAGTGCAGCTGGTCACTCTATGACCTCATCCACTATTGCTCTAGTGGGCATGTCTTGCTTGGCTGCTCAGTGGCAGCATTCAGGACTCACATCTGGGCAATGGTGTTAACGTCTCTCTTCCTTCTTCCAGAAACACTACAAAAGCCAACCAGCAGGGGGGAGTTTTCAGGCAAGTTCCAGCTTGATTTCTGTGTGCCTTAAAAAGCAAAGTGTGCTGTGTTTTCAACAATGAGGTCTTGCCATCTAGTTAACGTGACCAACTGAAAGCAATGGCAAAGCCTGGCTTGTTTGATGGAGACTTTGGGGGCTTTCTAACCCATAACTCAGGGAATATCTCACACTTAGAGCTGAGATTTAAATTTAAAACCCAGTGCCTTCTGGGAGTAATGTTTTACACCTACGCATGGTATCTCTGCTCAAACCATTTTTTAAAAAATATATTTTTAATTAGCAAAAAAAAGTGGCAGGTTTTCATAAAGGTTTTGCTTTTATAATCCTTAACTTGGGTCACTCTATGCCTTTTCTCCTTACCCCCAGTCCCAGTTCTCACGTAAACACTTAACCCCCAGTGTCCTGTCTTTATCACATATAGTCTACCATCTTCTCACTCCAGAAAGCTTCTTCCTGTGCCTATCTCATGGCCCCTTTCCAGTGTCTGAACTGCTACACTTAGAGATATACAAATTTAACAGTTTGAAGTTAGGACGGACATATGAGAACAGGTGGTGTTTGTCTTTCTGGGCCTGGGCTCCTGGATGGATGTATTCTCTATGTTGAGCTATAACTCATTGCTATATTATTTATTTGCTACTCTAGTCCTAGTCTGGCCATCCAGAGCATGCTCTGTGGGCTCCTGGGTTCATGTCAACTCTGCAGTGTTTCGCTAGTCTTCCCACATCATTCATAGGCCCCCGTTTTCTGTTGTGTTTGATGGCTAATCAGTGCAAGCAAGCCTTTGCTCTGCCCCTGCTAGCCTGCTGGACCTGATCCCTTATTCTTTTCACTGTTATGGCTTCACAGGACAAAGAGACGTGGATGCTCTCTGGATGTCTTTCATAAGGACACTAATCCCATTTGCAAGGGCCCCACCCTCCTGATATAATCACCTCTCAAAGTCCCTAGTGCTTTCCTTGGGGTTTAGTGAAAGGGATTTAGGTGCTGAGTTCAGTGGAGACACTGCAACATTGTTGGGGATATGACATTTATTAGAAGAGGGCTGTATCCAACATAGCTTTGTCTTGGAAATATGATTGGGGGTATGTGGTGGTTTGATTAAGAATGGCCCCCATAGGTTCATATTTGAATGTCAGAGAGTAGCAGTATTTGAAAAGGATTAGGAGGTGTGGCTTTGTTTGAGGAAATGTGTCACTCTGGGTGGGCTTTGAGATTTCAAAAACATAAACCAGGACTCTTTCTTCTTGTTTCCCGTGGATGTAGACCTCTTAGCTACTTCTTTAGTACCATTCCTGCCTGTGCGCGGACATGCTGCCCCCCATGGTGATATTGTGGACTAAACATCTAAAGATCCCAACTCAATGCTTTTCCTTTGCCCTGGTCATAGTATCTCTTCACAGCAGTAGAACACTGAGACAGGATAAGGGAATAAAGGAAGGACAGACTCACAAGCATATGGACAGAAAAACCAACGTCATCTGGAGGAAGGAAGCAATGGCTGCTAGTTTTTGCACACACTGCCGACACCTACGCATAGACCAGACTAAGACTTTGGCATTCTGAATCTGAGCTGAATTCTGAATGGTTTGCCACTTTCCATGGGTCTGAGGCGTTCCTCCTTGTCTGGAATACACACACACTGTGTAGTGGTTTCAATATGCTTGGCTCAGGGAGTGGGACGATTGGTAGGTGAGACCTTGTTGAAGGAAGTGTGTCACTGTGGGTGTGGGCTTTGCAGTCCTAATGTAAGATCCACCCACTGCAGAAGAGAGCTTCCTCCTAGCTGTCTGTGGATGCCAGTCTCTCCT